GTATGAAATTACGAGGCCCTTCTAAGCGTGTACAGAGAAAATTAGGTACCCTCGAGTAATTCAAAAGAGCCGCTTTATTCGCTACGTTTCCCTTTAGCGTATAATAGTAATTTTATACTTTAGCGTACACTAATAATGATGTATATTTAATATTTCAGGAGCGCCGAAAGGAGAAAGCAAATCGCAAGGACTATTGGCTGTGCCCGGGGATTGTCGTCAAGGTATATAATGTTCCTTATTTTTTTGCATACTTCCCTGCTTAGATTGTGACGAAAAAACTGGGCGAGGATTATTACAAGGCGAAGGGGACGGTGAGGGAGCTCGTCGATGACTACACGGCCAAGGTGAAGGTGGATGACGGTGGGATTTTGGTGCCTTTTCCGTGACATTTGTTTTAGTCGTTCTAAAGCTGGACCAGGCGCACGTGGAGACGGTGATTCCGCAAGTGGGCCGTGAGATGATGATCGTCAACGGCGCGTATCGAGGCTCGAAGGTGCGGCGATTTTTGTGGTTGTAATTTTGTGAAGTAGTAGTTAGACGTTGTATTGAAGGGTAGTTCATCCAGGCCAGATTTTTGCCCTGATTCCGAATCTGTAGTCAGTTTTTGCCCTTCGCTTATGTTCACCGAGATACGAAGTCCGAATTTCCGTTCAGAACGGCGCCGGAATTCATAATTTTTGCGTCGTCTCTAAAACAACTGTTCCGTTGTCGGTCCTAACTGGCCGATTTCGCCCAACCTTTCAGCTTTTTAAAGATTTTCGAAGTTTTAGGTAGTTTTCGCTTGAAATATAGTGACATGTCACTAAAACACAATTAAAAGTTTTGCTGCCGCTAAACTTGTAACAATTTTTATTTCATTTTCTCGGTAGTTTTTCGCTTGGAGTATAGTGGCAAATGCGTGATATCACGCGCCTTACGAGACATAGAAGCAATTTAAAAAAAAAGATTCGTTTCCCTGGTGAGGCGAAAGAACCGGGGCCCTTTAAGTTTCTATCGGAGCGACAAGTATTTCCTTTTCAGGCCACCCTACTCGAAATCGACCAAGAAGCCTTCGCCGTCCACCTCAAGCTGTCCAGCGGCCTCTGCAAAGGACGCGAGATCACGGTGCCCTATGAAGACGCCTCAAAACTCGCCGCCTAATTCCCCTCACTATTGTCTGTCTATTACTTGCGGGTCATTTTCGCTGTTTTACCTTTTTCGAGATACTAGTATGGAATAAAAGTTGCATTTCGTTACAATCAATCTTCTTTGCTGTATGCAGAATTTATACAAAGCTACCAAACCCTTTAGCGCAGAAAACCTACAACCCGGGAAAGAAGTATGCGGAATGGCCGTACCGCAAAGCTTCGAGATAAATTATGCCGTATCTTGCTAACACAAAAAAAAACTACTTTTTAAAAAATTCCATCGAAAGCTCTCGTATCATCGCGTTATTTTAAAAGCTAAAATTTCCAAAGCTTTTCGCTCTTTACGAAACTTCAAATTCAAAATTGCGAAAATTTGCGAATTTGGAAAAGCGGAGAACACATCTCTACTAGCCTATCACAGAGCTTTCAATAGATATATCAATCACAAGTTGAAACCGGGCGACTACGGGTGTTTTGGATAGGCTGTAGAGCTTCTTGATGGGGTCGTCGCTTTTGTTCCCGCCGGCTGCGTCTGCTGCCATTCCGTGGGTCGCCTTCGATCGTGGCCGCAACCGGAAAAAAATATGGGCGGCGAAGTAACTCGTTCGCTAACTAACCGCTATTAGTCGGATCCCCATGGGTGCCCTGAAGGGGAAAGTGACACTTAGATAGCGAAATTTCAGCAATTCGCCCAACACAAAAATCCGCAACAAGCCCGATTGCCGAGCGCGAGTTGCGGATTTTTGCGTTGAACGAATTGCTGAAATGTCCTCTGCTAGGTGTCACGATCCCCCTGCGGGGCCCGAAGTGAAGAGTAGCCGACACGCGCTCCACGGGAAAGGGCCGCCGCCAGCTCAGCGTCCATCTTCATAGAGCCAATCTGAAAACCGCGGTAAAAAGATCGCAAAAAAAACCTTCTCAAGCAATGCAGCGGAAGTCACAAGCATGAAGGCTTCAGTCTTTGATGGCGGACACGATGGCGTCTTCTCCCAGCGTGGCATACGGTCACGACGGTGGCTTCACACGGAAGCAGGCCAGCGCAGTAATCATCCAGTGAGCACGGGTCTCGGCATAGATGACAACCTAACACGAGAGTTTCAGAAAACAATAAAAAATACTACCTTAGGCTCAGCGCTTCCCTTCGACAGGTCCTTGATGCCGGCGGCCAGTTGCTGTACTTGGCGTTCAACCTCCTTGTAGGATGACCATTCATAGTCTCCGAGGTGCCACTAAATACAAGTAAAGAAATCAGAAAATAGATACCTTCTCAAAAAGACGGCCATTCGGTTGCTTCTCTTGAGCCACCTCAATGAGTTGGCGCGTGCCCAGCGCGTCCTTATTGCCGTACATGGAAACCATATGTCGCCACCGCTAAACAAAGCGAATAAACAGGGAATAAAGTGCGCATAGTTCGGGGGAAAAGCTCCAATTCGGTTTACAAAATCTACCTTATCAACAGCATCTTTCCGGGGTGATCCATGGCGACCATACCATCAACGTTCTCGATAGGGCCATCCCGCTCCTTCTCGTTTATCCATTTTGCCTAATCGGAATATTGACAAAAGCATACTATCAATACCTTGACTCGTCCAGATTTGCGCAACTTCTCAGCTGGTCAATTGAAGAGTTGGTAGGGCAGGTAGTTCAAACAGCCGTAGATGACGAATCAAAGGCGCAGCATGCCGATGACAATGCGTATCCAAATCGGCGACTCTCCTTTGACAACCTAAAGAAAAGCATGGAACAAATAGGAAATGCATTACCTTGTTCAAGGTGGCATCCCTCCTGGAGTCGTACTTCTCGTTATTATTGTTCCCACACGCCCCGAAATCTTGGCGGTCTAAGGGCTAGGCAACGCGGCGCTCCTATCGACTCAAAAATGTATGGGGCTAAAACTTTGAAGGCTTATATCTTGAAAGATAAGGCCGATCTTAAAAAACGCGAATTCCAGTCTTGTAGAAGGGAACATGGCGATTCTAATGATACTAAGCACTAACAAAACTGAATTTAGAAAGTATGCTAACGAAGGCGGTTTTGGTTGGCGATTTTGTGAAAAGTGGTATTTCGGAGGGCTAACCGGCTGTATTTGGTATCATTCGAACCGTAAAATTCTACTCTGCAATAATTGGTATTGGGTTTTCATTATTAAGTCGGTCTGAAAAAGTTATAAGAGCTTAAACTTCTTGGCGCCCGCTACGTTCCGCTCCTATCGACGCTTTTGCCCCTCCCGGCACATTGCCGTTTTTGGCCTGTTTAATTGGCCGTGCCCAGCCATGAGCCGCAACTGAAAAAAGAAAAGGATTTAGATACGCCAAATGGAGTCAAGTTGAAAAAAAAATGGAAAACATAGCAAATGGCGGTTCAGAAGGTTCGAGAAACGCGAGTCTGTTGGTAAGCTACAGAAATTTCGTAAGAGGAATGATAAAAATTTTTTCGATGAATTAGCGTTGTGATTTCGCGCTCTACCGCTTAATATACATATTTCCGGAACTAAATGGCAAAATACGCGCATTAATCGAGTAAAAAAGCCTGGCCCGATTTCTGGCAATCTCCTGGCATTGCAGAGCTCATATTCAACAAAAAACGGCGATAAACTGAATGGAAAACGGCGCTATTTCGGTTTAGTGGGCCTATGTTGGTTTTCCAACTATTTTCCACCGCTTTTTCACTGATCCTGGGGAGTTTGACGCGCTCAGCTCGACACTACGTTGATTTTAGGTAAAAAATTCGAGCTAGTGCGTCCAACAAGTCAAGAATCGGTGGAAAATCTAAGCGAGAAACGGGCAATCACATTCGCTCCACTAAACCGAAATAGCAGGAACTGGATGCAATGTATGATGTGTACAACCAGCTTTAATTTTGTAGACCTGCTTTTTTATTCGAATTCTGAAGCCGCCATCGGAAAGAGGAAAGAGCATTTTATAAACCGGACGTCCCTCAAACCAGGGGTCGAAAGTGACAGCTGCACAGCGGGTCGAACGGGATATTTTCAATGTAGCTCTTCCCTTGGAGTCGATCTGGCTCTGTAACTATCCGTATCTGTATTTCGGTTTATGTTTCCGAAACGTAGGATACTGTATAAATGCGTCGCGGTTTCGTCAATTTATTCACGCATCGTACATGAGGAAGTTGTGCTCCACGTAAGGTTCAAATGAATTCAAATGAGGTCCGAATGACGTCCGGATCAGGAAATGGTTCATCAGCAGCATGGCTAAAGATGATTGCATTTGGCAATTTAGACTTTGACTCGGCGCACAAAATGTAATCCAGCAAATTCGAATGTTTTAAAGGGTTGGTATCAGGTTGGACCGAAAGTCTTTACAATCCGTCTTCAGATGAGAAGATAACAATTTTTTTAAACCCACGGTGCTAATGCACTTGGGGGGGGGGCAGTCTGGATTTTGACTACAAGACGCTCCAAATGCCGTTTTTTAAACTCGAAGCCTCTAGAAAAGCTAAGCCAAGCCTAAGCCTAGGCTTAGCTTCATACAAACGAAGTCTAAGCTTAGCTTGAGCCAAGCTAAGCTTAGCTCTAAGCTTAGTCCTAAATGACCCCATTTTGACCACCTAAGGCAATTTAAAGCTCAAGTTAAGCTTAGCTTAGGCTTAAGCTTAAGCCTAAGCCTAAGCTAAGCTTAGTTAAAGCTAAGTTAAGCCTAGGCTCAAGCAGAAAACCAAGTAGCTTAAGCGGAGCGTCTCGTAACCCCTTACTACCAATTTCGGACTGCCCCCCCCTAACTGCATTAGCACCAAACCCACTTTTGCTGGCCGTCTTGCAGCGGTAGATCTTTCCAGTCACTGGGCGACCCTGAAAATTATATTCTGAGCCCTTGGGCATCTGGGGGGGCAAACTCTTTTTCTAAGGATCCAATTTTTCAAATATAAAGAGGGTCGGTGGTTCTAAAAAGTTTTTACCTTTTGTAAACGCAAAAACTTTGGAAATTTTGAATAAAAAGGCAAAAATATTAATTTTTGGACCGAAAATGATCGGTTTTCAACCAAAATTTCAACTAAAGACTTTTTAAGGTGTTCTTAAAATATAAGTAATTTGTATTAAAAACATTATGAGAACGCTTACGATTAGGTTGCTAGCCATTTCTGGACGTAGAGGAAAAAAATTATCGATCGATCTCGATAACGAACCCCCTCCCCCCAAACGAACCGGCCAGCGTTTCCGAAAGAATAGCTTCGTCTTCTTCGCATCTGGCGAGGTATCGGGTATCGATTCGATATCGCTGCACGCATGGCGTAACATTTCCTCCAACTAAAAATCTCAGAAATTTTTGGGCTTTGAACAACATAATCCAAAAAACCACGTGCCAAGTATCGTCAATTTTTCAAAATTTCCGAATTTCCCAAAAAAATTTGATTGAGCGGCTCAGGAGCTATAGAGAAAAAATCTGAACACCATGGCAAGGCTAGTTTTTTTGCAAAATCTAGCCGGAAGGCCAAAATATCTGAGTTGGAAATTCCAAAAATTGAGCAAAAAATCTCTTTAAGACTCAAACAACTTTTTAAAGAGGGGGAGTTGCGCCATAACTAAGATTTAAGCCTCATTTTTATTTTCAATTTTCTCTCCCGATGTTAGCGGGGGTACCGGGGGTTTATGGTATTAGTATTCAACCAGAGTTGAAAAGCCGCTTCGCTACTTTTCAATCCTGGCCCCGTACTGGTCCAATGAAAGTTTACACTTTTGATAATTCCACCCGACTCATGCGGAAAAAAGTGAAACAAGCGCTCTCGCTCCTTTAAATAAGCTACCGCCATTTCCGGTGTATGCTAATTGATTCCTAACAAAGAGGGTCTCGGATTTTTCAAGAAAAATTAAAATTGAACGTCGAAAATAAACGATTTTGGTAAATCTGATATGGGTGCAGTCATCTCCAGACCATTACGCACCTATTGACGTATCAAAAATGCCCCGAAATACTCTCCTTCCTGTGATACTGCTGGAACACGCTGACGGAAGTTGCATGCAAAGTGGCACACACATACAAACACAAACACTAATTTGTTATA